CGTTCGGGACGGCTGAATCCCTACCAACAGGTGAGTACATGGATTTAGCGTTGCGGCTGTAGTCTGTGGTTGTTTCAGGTCATATCTATTCTCGGAGAGACCCTTGCTCCGTTCGCCAGCAGCGGCTTCATCGCCGCCTTTGGATTCGGCGACGTGAAAACGTCAGACCATTCCGTGTTCCCGCTGAAAACCAACGGCTATTGCAAAGATTTCGCTGAGGTATGGAATTTCTGGCAAGTGAGACTACCTGGCACTTTCTAAAACTGATTATCAAAGACTTTGTGGTTATTATAAATTTCCAAACTGTTTCGTACCTTCCAATGCCTGGTATGTACTCTAGCAGTGGCAGTGAATACTATTAGTATGTCCATTTACACAATGTATCTTCCAGTTGTATGGCATTGCAATCATAGACATATTTTTTAGCTTTGGCCTAGTTCGGTTAAGGTCAGGATCAAGCTAATCTAAACCACGAAGTAAACGAGTTATTTATGCGCCGTTGCGCTCACGTAATAATGATAATATTGGCATGTTGTTGGAAGCGATTCTTTGTTACTGTTTCATGTTCTTCAGAATCGGCTTCTGTGGTCTTTCTTATACTTTCATAATGGGGGCAGTTTTGTTACCTCTTTTTCTTTTTCACAAGTTAATGGCGGGGCACTAATCTTCATTTCTATTTTATGAGTCAGAAAAGTCTTATTTTAAAAACAGAGTCGACAACAGCTATGTGGCAAACACATTGTAGAGTTCTTGTTTCCCTCTCACTGAGTGGTACTCTTCTGTCAACCTCATAGGGAAGAAAGTCTAGTGATTGGGCCTCAAAACAGACAATTCTCGATTCTGAGTCAAATGCGCTACCAACTGAGCAGTGTCGGAACTCAGTGGTTATTGATCAGTATGCTATGGATGGTTGAACTCTTTTATTTGCTTGACCTTTCAGCCAAACAACGTTCATCATCATCAGTGCAAACGATGCATTACCCATGAAACATGCCTGTCACATAGTCAATATCAGTGTACCACATTTATTTATTTTAAAAGCATACCATTCCAATATGGTCAGAGGAGAGGCTTCTTTTAGAGACCTTTCCAATGGTCTCGATTCGCCGGCAAACGAACAGGTTCGGTGGTTCTGATTCCAAGGTGTGAAGGTTCTACGTTTTGTGCAAATTCTTTGAACGCTGCAGTGTTCAGCGGCTTTCACCGTCAAGTTTTCAGCTCTCTTAATTGGAGCTACTGTTGGTCAAGATGAAGAATTTTGTAATTTGTAATTAGTCATTTGAAATTTCCTGGCACTCCCCTGATATACGTAGCTCAGTGACGCCTTCCCTTTACTTCTAGTAGCCTAGGGGCCGTATGAGCGTGCCACAGCTCTGTGTTCTTGTAGCACCTGCAGCACATGGGCCAAAAATGCACAACTTATTCGATCGAACAAAAGCATGCTCAATACCAGCGGGTATACTTGGATATGTAGGCATACCGAATAAAAATAAATTTCGATATTACGGATTTTCAAGCAACCTGCTAGTTTACAATGCTACCCGTTTCAGTCGATCAGCCAAATTTGCTTGAATAAATGTGAGTTTGGTTGCCAAAATCTGGATGCAGCGAGTGAACAAATACAAATCAGCAAAACAAGCAGTGAAAAGGCGGATCCCTCTCAGGGTGATACGTTCAAAAAAATGATTTTTCTTTTCTTGGGATTCCTCAGACACCTGATAGCGAAAGGAAGATCTGACCTTCGGTAGTCCTCAGTGCAGCACCTCCAAGACACGTACACGGATCTTGAGCTTAGCCGCTTTGAAAGGCACTTCTGCATGGCTGTTTTCTTTATCATGCGCTTATTTAAAATGCACCAAAACTCGTCAGCGCCGCAGTTACGGAGTCAGCTACCCAATTTTAAATCTCCGGATACCAGCCATTTGTTGCCCCCAGAGACTGCAGAAAAAAGGGCGGCGTAGAACGCACGGTGTGATGAAGTCTTTCAGTACTTCTGAGCCAACCTACACCGTCTGCACAACAATTAAGCCTATCGTATCACTGTCCAACCACTGGATTACTCTGTTGTGTCCAGGCAAGGTTCTCAGCAATCGATGACCAACC